ACGATTTTTTCCTGGCTGAGGGATTTTCCCTCCCCCAGGACCTCACAGAAATGTTCAGCAAATCTGCAAACCTGTTCCTGGGGGTCGGAGATTGGATCACCGTTTTTTCCCATAATGATGGTAATAGGTGTGGCGCTGCAGGTTATTTTTTTGATGGAGTTAAATAGTAAACACACACGCACACGCACATACGCACACATACATACGCACACACACACACACACACGCACACACACACGCACACACACACACGCACATACACACACACGCACACACACACGCACACACACACATACACACACACGCACACACACACACGCACACACACACACGCACACACGCACACACACACGCACACACGCGCACACACACGCACACACGCACACACACACACGCACATACGCACATACGCACACACGCACACAGACGCAGATACTTCTTCTGCAACCTCCGATTAGCACGACTGGCCACGCCGGGTGCGAAAGATGTTCCACGTCCGTACGGCAAACCCGTCTCTCACTCCCGACTCCCTCCCTCCGAACGTCAACGTCTCGCGCGTTCCGCCCATTTCGTCTCCACGGCGGCGCCTGGGTCAAGGGTGTCCCGGCAGCAGGAGCGCGCTGGGCCCTCTCGCCCGGTGATGCGACCACCGAATTGTGCCGGTTGTAAGGCGCTCCGGAAAGTTACACGGCTCTGGTCAAAGATTCCCCAGTAGCAGTCCGGTAACGCTTGGCGCGGCAACCTGCTGTTCACCAGCACCGATGAAGGCCGGCACGGCACGCCAAAGGGGCGCTGTGGGTGGCCAGCCCAACGGCCTTTGTATCCCCTGCGCTGATGTTTGGAACACTGCAGGGACCCATTTAGGTGTCAGTGGACCTTTGGCCCAGGACTGGTGCACAAAGTCGTCACCGTTATTGGCCGTGAGCGCAAATCGAACTGGGGTCGCCGGGTTCGTAGTGCAGCGCGCTAACCGTTGCGCCACCGCTCCTCTTACACACGCACACTCTCCTGCACGCATTCTGTGAGTCGCTACTGACACAACCGAGCTGCTCTCGGTGTAGTCCACCCCTCCCGGTGTCGTCCACCAATGAGGTCTCTTGTAATTAGCGGCCCTCGCTCTGTCTCGAGAAGCAATTCCTTGGGATTTGGGCATAAAACACTCGACTTGTAGTCTGGCAGTTCATTAACAGCTGTTCATTAATAACAATTAAGACAACCCCACAGGAAATCCTAATAACCCCCCCCCCCCCTCACCTCGCACCCACCTCCCCCAGTGGAAGAAGATGTAAATGATCATTCCCACCAACAACATTATTGGCTCGCTCCAAGTGTCGGCCACACGCTCACGGGAGCTGGTGGGGGGGGGGGAGGGGCTGGGGGGGGGGCGCTGGGGGGGGGAGCTGGCGGGGGGGGGGGTGGTGGTGGCGGTGGACGTACTCCGGCCGTCAGCAGCGACGATTCAACGCCGCGAAATCGTCCCGCGGCTTCTCTGGGCCCAACAAGCACACTGAGAACCACGCGCATTGTCCTTAACCATAGAGACTAATTGGGTTGAGTTGAGAACTGCCGAAGAGGTCTTGCCTGTGAAGGGAAGCAGAGTATCTGATAGAAACCGGGATAGTTTGTAAGTAGGAGAGTTTATAGTCGACACAATGGGTCGTAGCGGGGTGCCTTCTTTATGGATCTTGGGAAGACCATAGAGTCTGGGAGGTCTTGCCGCCGATGGTTTTAGAGAGGGACGTTTGCTTGGTTCGATTAGGGAAGTCGAACTCGTGATGATGCTGTTGGTTTTTGTCGTTAGGCTTTTAGTGGGATCGTTTTTACTTTTGGAGTAACTCCCATCATTAAGTAGGTCCAGGATATTGTTGTTGTATGAATCTTTATCCATGATGACCGTGGCATTGCCCTCGTCTGCCGAGAAGATGACTATATCATCTCTCTTTTTTAGGTTCGCGAGTTCAGAGCGTTCGTTTTTGCTGATGTTACTAGTGGGTTTCTTAGCATTCTTAAGAATAGTAGCTATTTCAGCTCTTGCTACATCCGCATGGATGTGTCCTATGCCTCTGAGGGCTACATCAATCTGAGAAATGACATCCTCTACTGGTATATATTTAGGGGTGACGGCGAAATTTAGTCCTTTGGCCAGTACCGTTTTTAGATTAATCACGGTCTTGTTAACATTCAGCTTTGTAATGTGTGGCTCTGGTTTCTTTTTGGGTAGGAGGTTGAATTTAGAAATCAGGTTAGCTTTGCATTTGGCTGACATTGAGTCAGCAGAAGCAGAAGTCATGTTATCAACGTGGTTCCAATCGGAAGGTGACATTTTTTGTGTTAACATTAAATGTGTTTGTAAGAGAGTCTTGTCTAAATCATCGAGTTCAGATCGGAGTAACCTTATTCTCTCCGAGATTAGTGATAGGCTAGCTTTAAATAAGATCTGTTTAGAGTTCGGTAAGGACACAGCAGCGGATGTGAGTGTGAAAGCGATGGGTATTACCTTGTTATCTCGGCATCTCTTGAGGAAGGCCAGTGTCTCGAGAAACCGGATTCCCACCACCACCCATCTCAAAAGAATCCTCTCATCAAAACGCTATACCACAGAGCCCATGGCATTTCTGACCAACACCATCTGGCCGGCGAATTAAGACATGTACATCGGGCCCTCAGGATGAACAGATACTCTGACCGCACCATACGCCAAGCTGTTTCTCCCACCATACAGAAACAGCCACATGAAACTCCGACCAAAACTATCACGTTACCATACATAGCAGGCGTGACCAAAAAGATCTCCAAAATTCTAAACAAACATAAGATCCAAGTCCGATTCAGTACAGTGCATAAAATCCGTGATCTGATTCCATCTGTGAAGGATGTCGTTCCTGACTTACAGTATCCTGGAGTCTACAAATTGAGTTGCAATTGTGGTGATTGCTACATTGGAGAAACGAAACGTCATGTTTCTGATCGTGTCCGCGAGCACAAGTCAGATCTGAAACACGGCAGAACTGATTTTTCGGCTGTTGCCGATCATTGCTACGACTCTGTGGGCTCTCATGAAATTGTCTTTTCCGAGACCAAGGTGCTCTGCAAACCTCCTGGCTACCATCAAAGGTTTGTACACGAAGCCATACAACTATACAAACACAGACATAATTTCAACCGTGATGAGGGTTACAAACTGAGTAATCATTGGAAAGATGTGATTAACCATGCAAAAAAGATGTAACTACACTTATTTGGACCATCTTATTTGACAGACAACTATTACAGGTTATTGATAGACAGCCAGTTTTTTGTTTTACCAGTTTTAGTTTTTACTTGCTTTCTTTTTTCACACTTTTGTTATGTATGCTAGGTGTTAGTTACAAACCGCACCTCTCCATAACAAAGGCTCAGTCCTTTGTTATGCTGTCTATTCTTAGTCTTAAGCCTCACCTTACCATATTAATAAAAAGTGTGCCGTTCCTGGCCCTTCCCCCCTCAACCATTATATATACGGGGTGGTATTTCTTGTGATCTCTCATTTACTTGATAGAGCTGTCGTGGCTGTGACGGTTCCACCTGAAGACGGAGGCTTGTGTTGCTTCCGAAACGTCGTGATTTTTTTTATTTAGTTTCATTTTACTTTTATTAATTAAAAATATTTTACCTACGTGACTTTACCGAAAAAACCTAAGAATATGAATCCTTGCAGTCACGAAAGCTTCAAATCTAGAATCACCTGTACTGTACCTGCAACACCACCTGTACTCTACTTGTAACACCACCTGTACTCTACCTGTAACACCACCTGTACTCTACCTGTAACACCACCTGTACTCTACCTGTAACACCACCTGTACTCTACCTGTAACACCACCTGTACTGTACCTGCAACATCACCTGCACTCTACCTGTAACACCACCTGTACTGTACCTGCAACATCACCTGTACTCTACCTGTAACACCACCTGTACTGTACCTGTAACACCACCTGCACTCTACCTGTAACACCACCTGTACTCTACCTGTAACACCAACTGCACTGTACCTGTAACACCACCTGTACTCTACCTGCAACACCACCTGTACTCTACCTGTAACACCACCTGTACTCTACCTGTAACATCACCTGTACTCTACCTGTAACACCACCTGCACTCTACCTGTAACACCACCTGTACTCTACCTGTAACACCACCTGCACTCTACCTGTAACATCACCTGTACTGTACCTGCAACACCACCTGTACTCTACCTGTAACATCACCTGTACTCTACCTGTAACACCACCTGTACTGTACCTGTAACACCACCTGTACTCTACCTGTAACACCACCTGTACTCTACCTGTAACACCACCTGTACTCTACCTGCAACATCACCTGTACCCTACCTGTAACACCACCTGTACTCTACCTGTAACACCACCTGCCCTGTACCTGTAACACCACCTGTACTCTACCTGTAACATCACCTGTACTCTACCTGTAACACCACCTGTACTCTACCTGTAACACCACCTGCCCTGTACCTGTAACACCACCTGTACTCTACCTGTAACATCACCTGCACTCTACCTGTAACACCACCTGCACTCTACCTGTAACACCACCTGTACTCTACCTGTAACACCACCTGTACTCTACCTGTAACACCACCTGCCCTGTACCTGTAACACCACCTGTACTCTACCTGTAATATCACCTGTACTCTACCTGCAACATCACCTGTACTGTACCTGTAACATCACCTGTACTCTACCCGTAACATCACCTGTACTCTACCTGTAACACCACCTGCCCTGCACCTGTAACACCACCTGTACTCTACCTGCAACACCACCTGTACTCTACCTGCAACACCACCTGTACTGTACCTGCAACATCACCTGTACTGTACCTGCAACACCACCTGTACTCTACCTGTAACATCACCTGTACTCTACCTGTAACACCACCTGTACTCTACCTGTAACATCACCTGTACTCTACCTGTAACATCACCTGTACTCTACCTGTAACATCACCTCGCCCTCTGCGATGCTCCCCAGCGGCAGGGCAGACGCCGTCGCTGCTGCTTCGGCTCCCGGACTCCACTCGGTCGGGGTGAGGTGCGAGGCTGCTGGTGGTGGTGGGGGGGTTGACAACACAACAACACGCTTAGAGCAATGGGGGGTGGGCAACTTTTTTTTACAGCACAACAAGAGCCACATTCGCGTTTGCCTTTGAATAAAATCCACGCCTGTCCACCCCTTAGCAGTGCCCTGGTACAAACCAATTCACAGCTCGTTGGTCACCACGTGCCTTTATACATCTCAACGTTCGTTCTACAAAGTCCCATCACAAGGGAGAAACACGATCAAAAGGGTTTAAAAAAAACACGTGTTGGGGGCCGTCCATAAATGACGTCACGCACCTGGGGGGGGGGGGGCAGACATTTGTGACGATTTGTGACGAGGGGGGGGGGTGAGAAATGTGATGTCACATCAAAATGCGCAACTTTAAATAAATATAGACAACACGTTCTACTTAATTAAATAGACGTTTTAATAAATGTTTTCTCCTACAACATTAAATACGCACTACAATGACAATATTTTAAAGCGATTTGAAGCATGTTTTTTTTTTTTGGGGGGGGGGGGGCAGAGCTTTGTGACGTCATATTTGAAGGGGGGTCTGACTTTTTGTGACGTCGTGTGGCGAGGGGGGGGGGGTCGAAAATCGTCGAAAATCGCATGACGTCATTTATGGACGGCCTCTTGCCCATATTGAAACGTCCTGTGACCCCCCCCCCCAATCGATTTACCCCATTTCTGTTTTAAATAAACCTTACTTCAAATATATGACACTTTTGAGAATTAAATGGGGGGGGGGGGGGGCACAAGACATCTGGACCACGCCGCACTGTGTTTTATGAAAGAGCAAAGGCGCAAGCCCTGCAATGGCTTGCACACTCCACTGCTGGCGGAAGGCTCTCCACTGAAGGGAGCTCTCGAAAGTAATGTTGGCCTACTCTTCCACGGAAGAAGTGGAATGACGCTCTATGAATACTCCGCATTGTACGTTGGGCGACGAGCCTCAAGTTCTGCAGTGGCCCACAGACGTCATGCGACATCGTTAGCAGGAGCGGGTCCACGTGTTTACGCGCCTGCGCCCGTCCCCATAGCAGGGTGAGATTTCAGCAACTTGCCCCGACAATTCTTTCAGCTGCCGCCCCGGGAGAGTGAATCTGTTATAGTCGAAGGGGTTTTTTGGGGGTGAGATCGCGTTGGTTGTGAATGTGTCGTTAAACCCGCCACATCCCCCGTGCGTGTGTTTACTCTCCGGCACACCGGGGTGCTGGACTAGAAACTAATTGGCACTTTTTGTTTACACGACAAACCTTGCCGATTGGCCGCGTCGGGTGGTGGCGGGTTGAACGACACTCTTTTAGTTTACGCGATCTAACCCACGAAAAAAATACTCGATATTATGGATATAATACTGGTAGAAACCTCCTGGTTACACCAGCCCACAGGGGATTATTGTGTCCGTCCGTCGTGCAGGGAGGGGCTGGGTGTGGAGGGACGGGCTGGGTGAGGATGGGAGGGTGGGGAGGAGCTGGGTGGGGAGGGTGAAGAGGGGCTGGGTGGGGAGGGGCTGGGTGGGGAGGGAGGGGCTGGTTGGGGGGTGGGAGGGGTGGGGCTAGGTGGGGAGGGGCTGGTCACCCCGTGGTGCCCTTATAAAACTCAACGTTTAACCTACTCACGCCGGCTTGTGCCCGCCCTCACAGTCGGGCATATTTGCGGAATACACCACGCCGCCGTTGACCCTGGCCATTGACCGAGCAACCCAACGTTCCTACCAGCTCCCTCCGCAGGACAATGTGTTACTGGTCGCACAAGCCTACGACGACTACAGCTGCGTGTCAGATTGCATCTAAGCGGCCATCTCCGGACTTTCCCAAGTCCAGCAGGCGCACATTGCAACCCCCACCGCACCGCACCCAACTCCACCGCACCGCACCGCACCGATCCTCCCCATTGGAGACGGAGGAGGCAGCCGCCACCAGAGCGCTGCGGGCGAAGAGGCAGCGGCAAGTCGACGGTGAAACGTCTCCGGTTCGAACGCGTCCCTCGGGCTACGGGGGCGGTGATGATGATGGTGGTAGTGGTGGAGGCGGGGGAGTGGGGGGGATGCCATGCGCACACAACGGCGGGCAGCAGCAAAACAACGTCGGCTAAATATAGCGAGGAGGTGGGTGGGGAGAAGGCCGCTTGCAGACTCGCGGCGGCGGGCGTGACCAGTGAGTTGGCAGCCGCCGAGTTTGACCTCCCGGTAGGGGGGAGAGGTCAACCTGGTCTTGCTGCCGAGTCGGAGCTCCGGACCAGCTGTGCGGCGGTCATCATCCTCCGTTGGTGGCCACGAGCCAATGGTGGAAATTACACATTCCTATGGCAGGTGCACTATGCAGGAGAGATGCTGTTGAATATGAGCAGGGCTGTATTTGGTTTTTTTTTATCTACGCCGGAGTGACGCATTTGAGTGGAGACCCGAGACTCGGATTTTGATTGACAGCTTTTAAATGTGAGCTGCGTGCTCCAATCAATGAAACCAATTCCACATTGTTATCATGGGGAAAGTTTCCGTATTGCACACACAGACAAAGGTCTCCCATGGAGGCTGTCGGAGCAAGTGCTGTTGGTGAGAATTTAACATTCGTACTCTTAGGTTTTTTCGGTAAAGTCACGTAGGTAAAAATTTAAAATAAATAATAAAAATAAATAATAAAATGACAGAAATAATAATAGAAATAAAATAATGAATCACGACGTTTCAGATATTCGTCATCGACGTTCACTCAGCGGGAATCCAACTCGGGTGGCCAGGCTCGTATCGCAGCGCGCCAACCGCCACGACCAGCCCACCACGAAGTTCTTCGTCTACTGCACACACTCAACATCAGCCACCATTCACCACCAAGTGGCGGTGGCGTCACCACAGAGCTTGTGCCAGGCTAGGTGCACGACAAGGTCACGTCAGGTGTTGAAAGCTCGCTGACAGGAGGTCACGCGACGGACGGGAGGTCACAGGTTGACTGGCAGATCCATCAGCTGTGCCCCCCGCTCTGCCACCTTGCTGGGATTCGCACACAAGGCAAAATACCCCCGTATAGCCTGGCGAGACGTTTTGGGCAAGGGCACGTGGACTACAGGACGGTTCGTTTTCAGACCGGCACTTCTATAGTTTAAGTTTGACCACTACTCACACACACACACGCACAAAGACAAAGATGCCCCGTATAGCCGTTAACAGGCTGTTGGGGCAAGTGTTGTTAGCGTGCACCTACGAAGGCCGGTACGGCACACGAGCGAGTGAGCGGCAAGCACCACGCCGGGTCCGCCTTTGTCTCCCCAAATGCTAACGTTTATCCACGGCACCAGGTACTCGTTCAAGAAGTACAAAGACAAAGATCCCCAGTGTAGCCTTAACAGACTGTTGGGGCAAATGCTGCATATGGACAAAGATCACCGCTATAGCCTTAGCAGACCGTTGGGGCAAGTGCTGTGTAAATATCACTCCTATAGCATTAACAGACTGTTGGGGCAAGTGCTGTTAGCGAGCACCTATGAAGGCGGGCACGTGAGCGGCTGGGCGGCCAACACCACGCCGGGTCCGCCTTTGTCTCCCCCCGAGTGGCGATGTTTTGACACAGCGTGCACCTAGGTACGGACGCACCCCCCCCCCCCCTCGCACGCACCCCCCCAGGATGCCTGAGCGGTTGTGGAAGTTGAGGAATGCCCGCTAGCCCGGAGCAGGCTCGGCTCGGAGCCAAGGGGAACAGCTTCTCGCCCTAATCAGAGCTGCCCCGCCACGCTGCCGCTGCTGCTGCCGCCGCTGCTGCTGCTGCCGCCGCTGCTGCTGCTGCTGCGAGGCGAATTGGGAGCGAGCTGGGCAAAGGGCGCTCAATGGGAAGGGGTTGGTTCCTGTTGTTGCTGGCAGGCTCGGCACTGCGTGTGGTGGGTGGGTTGTGGGGGGGGGGGGCGGCTATTGGGGGGCTGGGGTGCGGTGGATGAGTGGGGGCGGGGGGGGGGCTATTGGAGGTGAGGTGGGGGGCTATTGGGGGGTGTGGTGGGATGGGTGTGGGGGCTATAGTGGGGCGTTGTGGGACCTGGTGGACGTGGTGGGTGTGTGGGGGGGGACCACGGTAATTGGACACAGACACACAGCCTCGATGCGCTCCTTGTGGCCGCAGGCCTCTGCACACCGCGGCGCTGCCCGCTGCTGCTGCTGCTGTTCAGTCTGCACCGCCGCCGCCGCGTGCCTCAGCGTCGTGAGCAGTCGTGACCCCGGGTTTACGTCTCGCAGCCCCACACCCCACACCACCCCTCGCTTTCTTACGACGTTTCGCGACTACGTCGTCACTTTATTACGGACACCGGCGACTGCCCGCGACTCGTGATTAGCGTCGCCTGCCGGCATCGTCCGTCCGTCCCTTTCCCGTTCTCCGTCGCCTCTCACCCTTTCGCATCCACCACCACCACCACCACCTCGAACTACCACCACCACCACCTACTACTACCACCACCACCACCTCCAACTACCACCACCACCACCTCCAACTACCACCACCACCACCACCTACAACTACCACCACCACCACCACCTCCAACTACCACCACCACCACCTCCAACTACCACCACCACCACCTCCAACTACCACCACCACCACCTCCAACTACCACCACCACCTCCACCTACAACTACCACCACCACCACCACCACCTACAACTACCACCACCACCTCCAACTACCACCACCATCACCACCACCTCCAACTACCACCACCACCACCACCTACAACTACCACCACCACCACCTCCAACTACCACCACCACCACCTACTACTACCACCACCACCTACTACCACCACCACCACCTACTACTACCACCACCACCACCTCCAACTACCACCACCACCACCTCCAACTACCACCACCACCTCCACCTATAACTACCACCACCACCTCCACCTACAACTACCACCACCACCACCTCCAACTACCACCACCACCTCCACCTACAACTACCACCACCACCACCACCACCTCCAACTACCACCACCACCACCTACAACTACCA